TTACAATTCATCAAGTTTGAACTTTCAAATAATGGGAATGAGATGTTTTGTGTGCTAAATAATCACTGTCATTACACACTGAGTTTATTGTAATTCATGTCATGCACAAGGTTTATATCCCCAATTATCTCTGTCCTCATACGCAGGTGTATTATCAGGTTGTAGTGTGCTGAATTCTGCTCTGTGTAATAGAGTTCTGATGCAAAACCTGACACCAGCAGACACAAAAATCAGACTTTGTGTGTATGTGCAGCGGCTCCCAACTGGTGGGCTCAATCCAAAAGTGGGTTGCGAGTCCATTCTGAATGGACCGTAAGCGACTCTAAAACATGTCAAGTTTGTAATAACCAAATTTATTATAACAAAGGCCAAAATATAGCCCGTAACAGACGGTAGGGCTTGTTATTTTTAGACAAGACGATTTCCAGAAAGGGCGGCACGGTTGTGTGGTGGTTAGCCCTGTCACCTCACAGCAAGAGGGCCCCTGGTTTGATTCCGTGTTGGGGACACTTACACTCTTCAAAATAGTCTTCGATCCCGGGTTGGGGAGCCCATCCGTGTGGAGTTTGCATGTTCTCCCCATGTCAGCGTGGGTTTTCTCTGGGTACTCCGGCTTCCTCCCACAGTCCAAAGACATGCAGATTGGGGAAAGGCTAATTGGTGACTCTAAACTGACCAATTGTGAATGGTTGTCTGTCTCTACATGTCAGCCCTGCAATAGTCTGGCAACCTGTCCAGGGTGTACCCCGCCTCTCGCCCAATGTCAGCTGGGATAGGCTCCAGCCCCCCCCCCCGCAACCCTCAAGAGGATAAGCGGTTAGAAAATGGATGGATCGATGGATTTCCAGAAAACTTGCAGCCCCCATTTGCTGGTTGAGAAGCATGAGGAATCTGCATAACCTGGAAATCCAGATGCCCAGCCCCTAGCAAATTCGAATTCGCACTGCACAGGGATCTGGCCCCGACGAGCAGAGCCCGCTGAAACGGCAATTGGACCAATCAGATCAGTCTATCTGACAGAGGCGGGCTCTGGGCGGGCGTAACATGATGACGACAGTGCTGCGCTGTAGGAGTCGAAAAGTTAACAGCCAAGATGGCAGCTGCCGAAGGACCGCGTCCATTCAATTTAGCTTTGGAAGAAACGCTAAGACAACTACACTTATCTTTTTCCTTGAGAGAGAAACAGAAGACTGCCCTAGAAGCCTTCGCTTCAACAAAGGACGTTTTTGCCGTTATGCCATCGGGATATGGCAAAAGCATAATAATATATTAGTTAGCCCCACTGTTCGGCAAACAAATGGGGCTTAGTGCAATGAATACGTCACCTTGTTTTTTGCTCTCATTGGCCATCGTGCTAATCCAATTTGAAATGCCTCAGTTAGTGCCGCCCCTTGGGTAGGAAGGGCCACACTCAAAATCTTTCTAGATTTGAGTCTGGATTTCCAGGCTAGAATCTGCAGTCAATGATGGTATAAAAACAGTTTACAAAAATGTGTCCAATGTTACAAAAATTGGGAAACCCCAAAACCACGAGATGTCCGAACTGGCACACAAAATGCTAAGCTGATGGGTGCAGTGGTAATCAACATTAGCTGCAGACAGAAACATACGACCAAACACAGTATCGTCCCCACAGAGTTTGTGACGCTTCTACAAATGAAGAATAAAATGTCCTCACTTTGAAGAATTCTCTAAAATCTCTATCACTAAATATCCCCCAGTCCCAACAACAGCAATAGAGGATCCAACACTCTTATGCACACAAACAATGAGTCTGCTGACCAGCGGAGCCTAAAGCCCACCTGTACTCAGCTCTATGCTCCATCAGTCTGGCAGCAGCCTATTGTTGTGTGCCCGTCCCAGTGTCCCCTGCTCCAGAGGCAGCGGAGACTACAACAGCCTTCCATGCGTCAGTGTGTTGCAGTGGGTGCTCACCAGACTGCCGGCCATTAATTATTAAACAGCAGAGTCAAGAGGAAGCAGTGGGTAACCTGTGGCTGAGCCATGAAAATTCACAGCGGCTGTCCAGGTAAGAGCCCGAGGGCAGAGGGAAAGAGAGAGGGAGGAGGTGAACCACAAGAGGGAAAGAGAGACGTGAAGAGACTGGGGTCCATCTCATTTCTAAGGATCAACATTTTCCTATTGAAGAAAATTCAGTAATATCTAGAAAGAACTCGAAGTCACAGTGGCCATAACTCGCCAGTTATAAAAATATTCTTTAAGTGGATTGTTGTGTGCCATCGGGATCCCACTGTTCTGATGAAATGTTTGTGTTTTGTCTTTTGATGTTACAACTGTGGGACACAGATTTGGTTTTGAAAACCAGATTAATAAATTGATCAAACTGAATTTATTATTAAAGTAAAATAAGAATATAATTTCTCTGGCAGTTTTACAGTCTTGTGGCCTCACAATATTCAGTGTATCGTCTGTAGCAAAGGGCCGTTACTAACCTGCAAACTAGACAAGGGCGATATATCGATCATACTTGATGTATCGTGGTTTGTTCCACATTGGAGTTATAAAAAAAAGACTATATTGCAAATACCGAATAAAAACTGTCACGCCATCAGCACAAAAATGACACATCACCCCTACCTTCCAACCTATTAATATTAATAAATGAACCGAAGAGCTGTTGGTTTGTTTTCTGCTCACAGTGAATTAATCTTCAGGTTTAACAGTGCCGCTGTGATGGTTTAACTTTCCGCTAACTACTAACAGCTAACTGGAAGCTTCATGTTCAAAGCAAAACTTAGACGCTTCCTGCTCAAGATGAGTTGGGTGTTTCAATAAAAGCACCAGTGGTTCAGCTTTGATTTATGTCATTATAACAATACTTCATATAACTTAATTATACCAGTGCTTTAACTGTATTATATCTAGTCTCGCCACCAGACAATCAGAGATCTCCGCCTTCTGATAGTCTGGGGACACTCCTTTCTAAAGTGTGTTTAACACACTGGAGAAAACGGCCGGCAACAAAGCAACGCCTCTTGCATTTTTTTACAGGACACACCCTCCCGGAAATGTGCGCTCCCCCTTTTCTCATCTGCAAGGAAACAAACACACAGAGAGCTTGAAAATGGATGCCAAGAGATTAAACTCAGTCAAAAGATTGTGGAAGTGAAGGACTTACAGCGACTTTGTTTAAAACCTTTAACGCAGTCGGACTATGTTTACGAGCACAAGAGTTCAGCGAGCCACCGAAGGACCGCCCTGCGGATTTACTATCGGTTCTGCAACATAGGGAGTTTTTTTTAACTCTGAAATTGTATCCGCCCATCTAAACACAAAATCAGGGAGAAAGTCATCAGTCTTTAGTTAAGCAAAGCGTCTAAAGACTGACTTGTGAGTCTATATTATATCAGTACTTTTTTATCTTCATAATAACAGTACTTTTTAACAAATAACAGTATTTCATTTATCTTTAGAATAACATTACTTTTTATAACTTTATTGTAACAGTATTTTATTTAACTTTGTCACAATATTTTATTTAACTTTATTGTATTAGTGCTTTGTTTAACTTTATTGTGACCGTACTTTATTTAACTTTATATTAATTGTACCACAGTAGCCAGAACTATAACTATAATATTATTACTTTCAATAATGTTGTTGTAAGCTACTGTCATTACCTGCATCTCTCTCTCTCTCTCTCTCTCTCTCTCTCTCTCTCTCTCTCTCTCTCTCTCTCTCTCTTTCTCT